GAGACAGCCTGGACAATTCCTATTGGCTTTTGAAAGCCAATAGAATTAGACTCCATTCAAGAGAGTCTATTCTATTGGCTTTCAAAAGCCAATAGAATAAAAGGGAGCAGCACAGCTAAGGAAAAGGGGGGGAAAAATGGCGGACTGCGTTGTTTGGCGACCCCGTGAAATGGTCGTTCGACCCCAAATGGGATCCCGACCCACAGGTTGAGAAACACTGTGCTAGACCTTGACCGACAACCCCAATTGGGATCAGAACATCCGTTGCTAAGCAAGGCGGTTATTAAGTGGACCTGCCTGATTTTATGACCCTTTTTTTATTGAGTGAACCACTGCAGCTGTTAAGCGAATCAGGTGGTCGTTAAGCAAATCCTGCTTCCCCCACTACTGACTGCTTGTTGGAAGCCGGATGGAAAAGTGCAAATGGTGATCAGGCCACGCTGGCAGAGTAGCAGGAATGCCGGGGGGGGGGGGGCAGATACCTAAAGATGGTCTGAAGATTTGTGGCTTCCTAACATCTTGCGCATCACTCAGGACTAGAAACAATTGGTGGGAAAAGGCTGAACAAGTTCTTAGATTCCTGAACTTTCTGGAATCTTTAGGGCAGGGGTCCCCAACCCACAGTCCATAGACCAGTATCGGGCCACGGTCTGCACAAACAAGCAAAGCCCCATCCACAGGATGCAGGCAGCACACAAAACCACGCACCACCACCACCACCCCCCAGTCTGCGGAAAAACATCTCTTCACGTAACCAGTCCCTGGTGCCCAAAAGGTTGGGGACTCTAGGGGGCCAGGAGAAATATAGGCAGACTGCTTATTTTTTCCCCCACTAAACGTATTTATACATTAATTCGACAGGACTGTTATAATTTGGACATATGCAGATAGACAGCTGCTAAATATGGGTACTGCGATCTACGTTGTGATTTTCAAAGCTACAAACAAAAAATTAGCACAACAGTGGAGGGGAAGGATGAAAAAAGAAAACAACAACAACAACTGAGATGTATTTTTTTTTTCCTAAATCTAAATCTAACTATACACATAATGAGAATTGATCTACAAAAGTATCTGGGCGCACTACGTGAATAGAGCGAAGAGGGGATGAGGCTGGTTTTGTGATTCCTGAGTTGGAAGACAGAAAGGGGGGATCTACACACTGTATTTGTACCTTTGATCTATGGGGTGCTGGGACACGAAAGTGCCCCTTCAGTGCCAACTACTGACCATAGGGCATCCACGGCCACAGAAGGAGGAGCTCTGAGGAAGCAATGTCACAGAAGAGTATTTAGCCCCTGAATCGCCGGTGTCCTGCACTGCAAGGGAGTGACTGCTTTGGCCAAGAAGAAGCATTCAAGAGAAGTTCATTCTTGAAGGTGCCAGACAAACACACACACACATCCAGGTAAGATCATCCCCATCAGCAACTGCCCAGGGCGAAGAAGGGTTCCTGCTCAACTGACTTTCCCAGTGAGATGTTTGAATGGGCTAGGACAGGGGTGGGCAACCTTGGCTCTTTTATGACTCATGGACTTCAACTTCCAGAATTCCTGAGTCAGCTGTGCTGAAGTTGCCCACCCCTGGACTAGGACCACCATGGAGTAGAAGACCTCCGCTCTTGGCCACTAGCTGGCCTTTCTCTCCTTTCAAAATGCAGATCTTGACCTGGATCCTTAGTCTACTGAGCATCTATAGACCAAGCCACGATGGTCCTCATACAACACTGAGCTAGAAACCACAATTTATTTAGCACAATGACTGGGGGGAAAAATCATCTTGCCAAAGCAGAACTGAACGCATCAGGCCAGGGCTTTGCGCTAACCACCTGAATATAGACAAAAATTTCATTTGCCCTCATTTGGGGGGCATTTTTAGTGTTTTTCGTTTGGCAGGAGGAGACCAAAAAACATCCCAGTCTTGATTCACACCCACAGATTAATAAAATGCAGCAGGGGAAAGGAAGCAAAGAGGGAAAACTCTGAAAGAGCAGCTCTGAGAACTTTCCCTGTCTTTCACATATGGCAGAAAGATCTTTATAACTCTTTCTTGAAAGTACTTTATTTCCAGACTTCCAAATATTGAAGTTTATAAGCTGGATTGGGGGGGGAGACCACCTGGGGGAGGAAGGGATCCACCATCCTGACCCTTTCTCGCCCTCACTCCTCTCTCACAAATTTTAAAAAAAAAAACCATTAAACAATTCCAGCCTAGCACTTTTTCTTCCTATTTTGCTTCCTATTTGAGCAGCATCCAGCTCAGCCCTTGCTCTTTAGCTCAGCAAGAGTGCTCAGGGTGGATGGGACGTCTAATTTGTATTTATATAAGAAGCCTGCCTTGCTAATCCTAGTTGGGATTAGCCAGTGGTTGGGGTTCCTCTCTCTGTGCTTGAGAACTGGAAGTGTCAGGATAGAGTGACATTTTGAACAGATTTAAGTCCAGATGGAGCACATGGGCCTCGGAGAGCGGATACCACCCATCGGAAAGCCTCAACCTTGGGGGAAGCTGATCCGGTTGGGGGTGGAACAAGCCAAGCCCCACGTCTTGTGGCTGAAAACAAGTGCTGGCCCAGCTTAAAGCCCATCAAGGGCTATCCCCCTTTTCAGAAAGAGAGAAGTTGGCTACTAAAGTACCTCCTCAAGCGAAGAGCTTGCCAATTCCTAGATCGGCGTTGCAAGTCTGAAAATGCAGCTACCAGGCCGTTCACTGGAATTGCTTGGTGGACCCTAAGCCTGGCCCCATGCATGATGCGAAGAATAAGGGCTCAACTTCAAAGCAGGACTCCAGGGGGAATAATCCACCTCTCAGAACATTTTTGGAGACGCGTCTTTAAAAGTGTTTGAACTGAGGCAGGCTGTCACCAGGTAAATGGTTTCCCCCCCCCCCCATCCCTGAAAGGCTTCACAATAGTTTTGGCCCCAAAGACCTTGACTGACTCTGTTTCTGAACTTTTAAAAAGGGCTTTAATGCTGCAATTTTAATCCGCAGCTTTATCCTTGCGAGCAGTTCCTTTTTTTTTATTATTGCCTTGCTTTTATAGTACATTATTGCAAATGCCCACATACCGAAGGGTGGGGCTTTCGTTTTATCCATCCTTTTAAAAAAAATAAAGTAATGGATAAAATAAAACGCCAAGGACGCAAGATGTTCAAAGCCTCCAACAATGTACGGAGGAGGGTGGCTTGTGGAACAATGAAAAAACCAGGTGATCCTGCAGGATTCAGAAAGAAGGGGGAGCAGAGGAGCCCCCCCCACCACCACCACCAGGCAGAAAAGTGGAGGCATCATGAAAAGGGGGCATAAAGGGAGGGCGCGGGGGGAGGAAACAAGACCAATAACAGAATTCAGTTTCCCAGGAAATCATCTTGCACAGGTCAAGAACCTGTTAGGGTGGACAACCTTTGGCTGTAGGACACACACACACAACTCCCAGGACCCCTTTTTGAGGGCCTGGAGCAACCTAGAGCTGGCAGGCCTTTTCAGATTTTTAGGCATGACCCCTTAAAACAGGGGTGTCAAGCTCAATTTCATTGAGGGCCGCATCAGCATTGTGGTTGGCCTGGGGGGGGGGGCAGATGGATGTGGCCAGGATGGGTGCGGTCTACTGGGTGGGCGTGGATGGAGTGGGTGTGGCCTATGGGGTAGGTGTGGCCAGCTCTATATCGTTTGCGTCAAGGGGGCCTGTGGGGGCCTGGGCAGGAGTGGGACAGATCTGAGGGTCTCTGGAGAAGGGGTGGGAGCGGGGCAAGTGCCAAGGCATGGTCCACTGGAGGAGCCTCACTGTTCCTGTCAGGCCATGCAGGGGGGGAGCCAGGGTCAAGGCAGAGGGGGCCGTTCCCTCACTGTTTCCAAGATGGCTTCGCGGGCCACATGAAACCATTTCGCGGGCCGTATCCAGCCCCCGGGGCCTTGTGTTTGACACGTCTGCCTTAAAACTACCCAACTCCTTCAAGAAATCCCCAAATTGTTGGCTTTGGCTGCCCAGCAATGCCATGGCACTGCCGGCAGAAGTCTTGGCTTGTGCAAGAATGCGGACTGCCAGCAATGCACCATTTGGTCTTTCCAGCCAGGATGCCCAAAGTTTTGTGCCAGGCTGCAGAGTTTGGAACGAGCAGAGAGGAGGGAAAAAATGGGAAAGGGGAAGGATGGTAGCTGACCTATCTAAAGGGCATCCATTGGGCATAAGCCGTGAGTGCCCTGAAATCAGGAAACCACAGCTGAGCTGCAAAAACCTGGATGGCCATTAGATTCCCACAGCCCAAATGTGGCAGATCTTCCAAAACCTCTCTCGGGAAAAGCACACGACTGACAGGAGGCCTTTCAAAGCGTCCTCAAAGGTTGGAGCCACCAAACTTTCAGGTGGCAACAAACACTAGTTATGACTTCTGGAACAATCTGTGGTTGCCACCAGAGTAATTACAGGCTGCAGCGCTTATACTCCTGGGTGTGAGCGAGGAGGAAACACACCCTTCCCCTCCTTGTGCTGTCCCTGTCAAGCTCTGCCAAACAAAGCAGAGCAGCAGCCAGGACAGGGGGGAAGGAATGCGGGTTAATTCGTAGCACAACTTTTGATCGGCCCCTGCCCTGCTCAACTCCTAATTATATTTTGCAATGAGTTGTACCAGGTGCTGAAGTTGTAATCAAGGATATAGTGGGAGGAGAGGGTTGAATCAAACAGTGGCTGCCATCTCTATGCTTTGGACAACCCCCCCCCCCTCCCCAGAGAGCCCCTGGATATAATGGTGACTTTATACTAGCTTCTGTGAGTATAGGGAAATAGGTCAATTTCTAATAGATGATGTTTTAGGATTTAGGATTTTTAGGATTTGTGCTCTTCTTTGGGCGTCCTCACCGCAGAAACCTGGGAACTGTACTCTGACAGGGATGCTGAGCCCTTGCAGGCGCTCCCAATCTCTGACTAACACCTGGAGGAAACAGGGTGAGTCTCGGAACGCTTAACGATTGGAGAGTTTGCTCCTATTCAGATCCTGAGTGCTTACCTTCCCAAACTGCTCGAAGTATTGTTTTACATCTTCCACGGTGGTGTTCACAGACAAGCCGCCTACAAATATTTTCTTAGTCCGTGTTACCATCTAGAAAAGAGAAGAAAAAAGAGGCTGCAGTGCAAGATTCGGAGTCGTTAACACTCCCCCCTCCCAAAAAAAAGAAGGAAAGCTTTTGCAAGAGAAGGTCCCACGGCAGGCTGAGCGGGGAACGAAGCTAGCCCGCTTCCGGATGGCCAGTACAGGGAGCTATTCTACAGAGATCCCAAACAGAAGGTGTCCCTGTTCTGCCAAAAAAATGTCAAAATCTAGGGTGAAGAACTTGTGCTGCAGCTTAAGTGCTCCCACACTGGGCCTCTTGCCTACAAGCAGCCTGGATCGCAATCACAAAACACAAGAACCGACCAGCCACAGCTTCTTCCGCCCCGAGAAGATCGGCAACATCTTGTGAGCATCACTAACTGGCACTGTCTAAGAGGGCAGGCCCCAAAGCAAGGTCACTTCTGACGTTGGGCTTTTGAGGGACGCCCCCCTTCTCTCCCTCCTGCTTCTCTTCACCCACGCCCCACAAGGCTTCTCAGGAAGACCCCAGCAGGGGCCAAGCCGTGGCCCGTAGTCAAGTCCCCGCTATTATGGGCATGTGATGCTAGGACGGAGGAGGTCTCCCCATTAAATAAACCGTGCAATTTGTGTGCTTTTCAGCATCATCGGCGGACAGGAATTTAGGGCCAACCACCCTCTGCCAAGTCATTTCGCCAATTTCTGTTTTCATGGCTGTGGCTCTCGCTCTCGCGCTTCTGCTGTTTGTAATGTGGCATGGATTTATTTGGTATGGCGTTACATTCTGCGTGGCTGTAACTTTGGGGTTGTGTATATATTTTACAGAACTGGGTTTATTGCAGGATACGTGGCTTCCACTTTAATGGAAAGCAATCGAGCATGTTAAAGAGATTGGGGGGGGAGAGAGAATAAGAGAGGTGGTACAACATGCCAAAATGCCTTCCAGAAGAAGGGAGGACACCCAGTTTCCAGTTCCAGAGGACCTTAATTGTGAAGGACCCCAGGGAGGCCTTGGAACCCCCTTCCCCGTGGCCTGACGCCTTCGCTTTGCAAAAAAAAATCTGCTTCTAATGACTCGGTGGAGCGCAGAGTTAATCCACTGCAATTCTCAGTCTTGAAAGCCCTCCGTTCCCCCCCCCCAAGCAAAATACCTTCTGTCACCAAACTGCTTAATGGGATTAACCCAGTTCCAGCCCTGAGCCGCAGAGCTGTTCCTTGGGCTACCTGATCCGCTCGGCCACCTGCCTAGGGCACCCTTGGCACCGCGAGCCCAGCAGCCTCCCGGGCATCTGGGGACGGGGGTGTTATCATAAGAGCTCAGCAGAGCTCAGCCCTTCTTGGAAAGGAGAGCATCCAAACTCAAGGCTTCCCAGGTGACCCTCTGCACGCAGACCCCCCCCCTTTTCCTTTCTCAATGTTAGATGGTGAACTTCTGGGAGAGAGGAATGTGACCTTCGTGGCTAGAAACAGTTTGGGTCTCTGTGGGTATGTTCTTGGTGCCACCCGGTTGCTTGGTCCCATCCAGCTTTTTTGCCTTTTTCAATAATTAGTTTTAATAATTTAATAATAAATTAAATTAAATAAATAATAAATCTAGACAGCATACTAAAAAGCAGAGACATCACCCTGCCAACAAAAGTGCGTCTAGTCAAGCCCATGGTTTTCCCAGTTGCAGTGTATGGCCGTGAAAGTTGGACCCTAAGAAAGGCTGAGCGCCAAAGAATGGAGGCCTTTGAATTCTGGTGCTGGAGAAGACTCCTGCGAGTCCCTTGGACTACAAGGCGATCCAACCGGTCAGTCCTAGAGGAGATCAACCCTGATTGCTCTTTAGAAGGCCAGATCCTGAAGTTGAAACTCAAATACTTTGGCCACCTAATGAGAAGGAAGGACTCCCTGGAGAAGAGCCTGATGCTGGGAAAGATGGAGGGCAAGAGAAGAAGGGGACGACAGAGAATGAGAGGGCTGGACGGAGTCCCTGAAGCATTAGGCGTGAGCTTAAATGGACTCCAGAAGATGGTAGAGGACAGGAAGGCCTGGAGGAACGTTGTCCATGGGGTCGCGATGGGTCGGACACGACTTCGCAACTAACAACAATAACAAATTTTTAATCTTGTGGCACACCTTGGGAAGCCCACAAGCATGTATGTAACAGAGCTGGTAAACAGGCAGTCAAACTACTACTCTGAAATAGCATTGTGGTCTCCTAGCTAATGTAACAATACCATACGCTAATAATAATATTATTTTAATTTAAAACGAAGCGAAGCTGGCAAGTTGTGTGCAAGGCAAATCTTGCTGATGGCACCTGGGGTGAGGACTAAGTGAAGCCCTGCAGCCCCTGCAGGGGTTGGTTCACCAAACCAGTGATGGATTTTAAGGACTGTGGCGGGTAGCTCTGGTTTTCCAGAAGCTTCTTGCTCCCTCTTGTGAAAGACAACTTGGTGTAATGGTTATGGAGCTAGGCTAGCCCAGAAGCCAGATGGGCTCTCTCTCAGTCCAATCCACAGGAGACGGGAGCTTTATTTACAGCACCTTGAGTCATATAAAATAAAAGTAGGGTATATCAATCTCATAAGGGAGAAATAAAGTCCCACACTCATAGTTAACGGCATGTGCAAATGGTCTTGAGAGACACAGGAAGAGCTGCAGACTACACAATCGTGCAAAAAGTTCTCTTCTTTCATGGAAGGAAAAGGGTCTCATAAGGGACCCTCCCATCTAGAGGGTAAAAGGAAACGAGCAGAGAGATACTTTCAGACTTGGAAGATTCTGTTCATTTAACTTTACAATAAAGACAGAGAGAGAGAGAGAGAGAACTTCTTCTGTGCTTCTTGTCTGCACGGCCTTGAAGGGCTAACGCTAACCCACCCTCCAAACCAAAAGGAGATGAAAAAATTGGCCCTGCCCCTTTTGTGGTGTCCCAACATCCCTGGGTGGGTCCCCCATAATGCTGGAAGGATGAGATTGAACTGCGGCGTCTGCCCAAAATGTGCTGGTCCCAAAGGTGGCCACAGGTGAAGACTACCTGTATTAAGACCATCATTTTGTGAGCTGTGGTAGTGCAGTGGTTAGAATGCAGTATACTGACTCTGCCCACAGCCAGGAGTTCGACCCTGACTGGCTCAAGGTTGACTCGGCCTTCCATCCTTCCCAGGCTAGTAAAATGAGGACCCAGATTGTTGGGGGCAAATTGGCTGACTCTGTGAACCGCTTAGAGAGGGCTATAAAGCACTGTGAAGCGGTATATAAGTCTAAGTGCTAAATGCTAGTGCTCTTCCCTCCCTCCCTCCCTCCCTTCCTTCCTTGCTTCCCTCCCTCTGCCCTCTGCCTGCAGTTCGATTCTCACCAGCTCAAGGTTGACTCTGCCTTCCATCCTTCCGAGGTCGGTAAAATGAGGACCCAGATTGTTGGGGACAATAGGCTGACTCTATAAACCGCTTAGAGAGGGCTGTAAAGCAGTATATAAGCTAAGAGCTATTGCTAGTGCTCTTCCTTTTCCCCTTCCTTCCTTCCTTCCTTCTATCCATTTGTCCATCCATCCATCCATCCATGGTATGCAGTGGTTAGAATGCAGCACTGTAGGCTAATTCTGCTGACTGCCGACTGCTAGCAGTTTGATTCTGACCAGCTCTGATTCAGTCTTCTATTCTTTCAAGGTCAGTAAAATGAGGACTCAGATTGTTGGGGGCAATAGGCTGACTCTGTAAACCGCTTAGAGAGGGCTGTAATGCACTGTGAAGCGGTATATAAGTCCTAAGTGCTAAGGGCTAGTGCTCTAATTGTCAGCCAGCATCGTCACAACTTAGAATAGGCTGGTGCAGCCCTTGTCACTCCCGTGGTTCAATCCCCTCAAGGTGGCGTTCTACACAAAATGCACAAACCCACTGTGCTTACAAATTATTGCCGATGGTTTTCTGAGTCGTAACCATCCATTGGGGACTCAAAAATCGATGGAAGAGCAAAGCTGAAAATGAAGATATAAGCTACCAGATCATAACCGAGCGTGGTGGCCACACATATCAGTTCAGGTGGAGAGCAGCAACTCTCAATGGAGTGTCTGTAATGCAGAATTTCCTTCAAATTTTGTCATTTTAATTTCTGCTGCCTAGAAACTCTTATAACATGTTTTGTATTTTGGTGCTCTGTTTTACATTTGCTTTGAGCTTGCTTTTTGTCGCTGTTTTGTTTTACTTTTGTTCTGAAGACCAATATACTAGTGTCTCTTTAAAACAGAAATATAACAATTACATTAATAAAATGTACCCTACCTTAGGCTGTGCTCTGCGAGGGAAGGCAACCTTTGGGTCAATCTGAAAGAGAAACATGATTTTTAAAAAAAAAAAAAAAAAAATCAGATTGGTGCATCTACAGTTTCTGCTGGGGACCAAAAATTCTCCAGCATCTTATGCAGAAAAATAACACGGCAGCATAAAAGAACATACATGACAAAAGAATATGGCAACTTGCTGGGTATAACAATTAAAAGTTGGGCTTGCACGATCCCTTGCACGAAAGTACAACTTGGCAGATTTCCTGATAGATGTATAACTATTCAAAAGAATCTTGGAAATTACAGAGGGGGCCAGAAAACAAAAGAACAAATGAAATTTAAATAGAAACCAATGAAGAAATCTTCATTTAGGAATTTAAAAAAATCAAATTCACAGGTGAGGCAAGGATTTTGAACCCTAGTTGATCACCATCATTTAGCACAGTGTTTCACAATCCACATGCCTTACAATTGTCAAGGTTGAGAAACACTGATTTAGCAGATCAGCCTGGCAACCAAACAGGCAAATTTGGAAGTGTGGAATTTCAAATCATGGAAAGTAATAATTCCATTATAACCAAAAATCCGGTCGTAAGTTGAAGCAGCTACATGACCAGAAGCAATTTTATGGCCTTATTTGCAGCAGTTGTTATATGAAGCATTCATATGAATGGACGTTTACTGCCAGAAACCAGTAAAAAAAAAAAAATGGCAGGAAGTGACCTGTGAATAAAATGCCACATCTGGTTGTAAAGCTGGCCCAAACGATATTCGATCACATGCAGGGGGCTGCAGCCCAATCATTTACAATGGCTGGGGTGCTTTGGGGACTATAAAGCACCTGCTCTGTGACCATCACAACTCTGAATAGTTGTTAAGCAACCGGCTGTAAGTCAGGTTGGTCAGACGTCCCTGGTCAGACGTCCCTCAGGTACTGGGGGGGAGGAGGGGGCCTCTCCCAAAATGTGAAAAGGCTTCCCAGAGCAAAAACTCAAGGCCGGTTCTGGAGCAGAGGCTGCAGAATAACAGATTTAAGTTAGCAAGAGGCAGGTTGCAGCTGGGGACGGGGGGGGGGGGGCAACGGCACGAAAACTTTCTCCTTCCAGAACAAGCCACTTGACAGCGCAATCAGCCTCAGAGGGGATCGCAACATCTGGATGTGAACAGCTGGGATGTCCGGGATGTATCAAGTTGCATTCCTGATCTGGGAGGCCTGAAGGGGTTAAAAAAACACCCCTCTCCATTGAGGCCATTTTGTTTTTCAAACAGCTCACCTGAGAAGGGAGCCTAGGTCAGGGGTAGGCAACCTCGGCTCTTTTATGACTCGTGGACTTCAATTCCCAGAATTCCTGAGCCAGCATGGAGGAACCATGGCCCCCTCATGACTTGTGGACTTCAACTCCCAGAATCCCTGAGCCAGCATGGAGGAACTATGGCCCCCTCATGACTTGTGGACTTCAACTCCCAGAATTCCTGAGCCAGCATGGAGGAACCATGGCCCCCTCATGACTTGTGGACTTCAACTCCCAGAATCCCTGAGCCAGCATGGCTTAGCTTGGAAACCTCTCCCTTTCCCCTCAGCATGGCTGGCTCAGGAATTCTGGGAGTTGAAGTCCATGAGTCATAAAAGAGCCGAGGTTGCCTACCCCTGGCCTACGTGATTCTACTGCTGCTTTATGGAGGAATGGGAGATATTTGAGCTGGGGCTGATGTAAGAGCTGGGCCATTACAGCCATTACAGGCTGCGGAGAGGGGTACAGGAAGCCCCCCCCCCCAGACATGAAGAGGAGGAGCGTTTGGCACAGAGGGAGGAGCTCTCCCTGCCACGCGGGAAAGTTGAGTCCTGGAAGAACTGCCCTTTGCTGGGCCAGCTTGGGCTGGCTCCCCCTTCCCCAAGACTTGCCAGGCGCCCAGAAGGTTCCTTGGCCTCACCTCCTCTGGATACGGGAGGCTCCATCCACACAGCAGGGTTAATAACACACCAACTGGAATGGGCCAAATTCCCCATCAAATGTGCAGGTGGACCAGTTAGGTCAGGGGTAGGCAACCTTGGCTCTTTTATGACTCATGGACTTCAACTCCCAGAATTCCTGAGCCAGCATGGCTCAACTTGGAAACCTCTCCCTTTCCCCTCAGCATGGCTGGCTCAGGAATTTTGGGAGTTGAAGTCCACAAGTCATAAAAGAGCCAAGCTTTCCTACCCCTGGTGTAGGATCTCCTGCTGCTGTCCCTTCCAGCGCTAGGATTCTATGACTCTCTTACTGGTGGACTTCAACTCCCAGAATTCCTACTATGGCTCAGCTTGGCAACCTCTCCCTTTCCCCTTAGTATGGCTGGCTCACGAACTCTGGGAGTTGAAGTCCACGAGTCATAAAAGAGCCAAGGTTGCCTACCCCTGAGTTAGGTGGATGTTTTCTCTAAGGCAGGAGAATCCCCCCCCCCATTTCTCTGGGGCAAGACTGCCCACCTCCCTGCTCACAGCATCTTTACTGAGAAAGGAATGGGCAGCAGGGCGGGGGGGGGGTGGGTATGGTCACACAGATGCAATGATACTGCAGCCACAAAAACCACGGCTTAAGGATTTGCTTGGTGTGAGGCAGGCATTCAGGGGCCCAAAAAAACCATGGGATATTTTGGGGACCAGGAGGATCATCTAGTCGCTCCCTCTGCCATAGGGAGCAAAACCACCTAAGCCATCCACCCAGCCTCCTCTTGAGCCCCTCCCAAGGACACTGGGTTGGTTAAGGATGCTGCAGGGGTCCCCTCTCAAACCCTCCCTTGGGCAGAATGGAAGGCTGGGCAGCCAGGGAGGCTGAGGACCCCTGGACAGAGGACGATACCATCCAAGACCGGATATTCCCACCCACAGTCAAGTCCTCGGCCACTACATGCCTTCGAGAATGCCACCCTTAAAGGATTCCCTTTCCTTTGAAAAACATTTCAAATGCAAGTTTGGAAAATTTTAAAATGCAGGAGGCTGGACTAGAAGACCTCCAAGACTTCTTGCAGTCTTATTACTCCAGGGCAGGGGTAGGCCACCTTGGCTCTTTTATGACTGGTGGACTTCAACTCCCAGAATTCCTGAGCCAGCCACGCTGAGGGGAAAGGGAGAGGTTTCCAAGCTGAGTCATGCTGGCTCAGGGATTCTGGGAGTTGAAGTCCACGAGTCATGAAAGAGCCAAGGTTCCCCACCCTGATCTAGATCATGATTTGATGAGTTTAGATCAGGGGTAGGCCACCTTGGCTCTTTTATGACTTGTGGACTTCAACTCCCAGAATTCCTGAGCCAGCCATGCTGAGGGGAAAGGGAGAGGTTTCCAAGCTGAGCCAGGCTGGCTCAGGAATTCTGGGAGCTGAAGTCCACGAGTCATGAAGGGGGCCATGGTTCCTCCATGCTGGCTCAGGGATTCTGGGAGTTGAAGTCTACAAGTCATGAAGGGGCCAAAGTTTCCCTCATGCTGGCTCAGGGATTCTGGGAGTTGAAGTTCATGAGTCATAAAGCAGCCTAGGCCTAGGCCAGAGGTAGGCCACCTTGGCTCTTTTATGACTTGTGGATTTCAACTCCCAGAATTCCTGAGCCAGCCATGTTGAGGGGAAAGGGAGAGGTTTCCAAGCTGAGCCATGCTGGCTGAGGAATTCTGGGAGTTGAAGTCCCCAAGTCATGAGGGCGCCATAGTTCCCCCCCCCCCGCTGGCTCAAGAATTCTGGGAGTTGAAGTCCACGAGTCATAAATGAGCCAAGGTCGCCTACCCCTGATCTAGGTCCTCTTTTAATGAGGATGGTGAAGGTCCATGCATTCACGTCATACAAGCCCCATTGAAGAAATTCCTTCTGGTGTCCTCAGAAGGCCCCACACTAGCATCTCCCTCACTTCATCGACTTTCCATCCCAGGAAAACAGAGGCTGTCCTCTCCAGGGCAGAGAACCAGCAAAGGCCCGGCTTTTGAAGACCTTTCCAGCTTGCGTGCAACACTGCAAGAACACATCCTGCCTGCTTTTGCAATTCTTGTTCCTTTCACTGATGTGTTGTCCTTCTCCTTTCTTTTCATTTATTGGGAGGAATCTGGGCCTCCAACTGCCCCAGCTGCCCCCAAGCTGGACCATGCCTTCTTCTCAAATTCCCCTCCCCCCCCAAGACTCACGGGGGGGGGGGGTTATATCTGCCTTCACTCATCTTGACAATCTATCTTGATATCTGGCATTCTGCACTACACTACACTGAATGGCTTTATTGTATTTCATTCAAAATTTATTTTATACATCAATTTCCATCCTATCAGACTTCAAGACAGGGCACTGAATGAAATGGAGCCAACAGAGGAAATGTAAAGACGGGCAAAGACTTCAGTTGTGAGCGAATTTCACTGAATGCACCAGGATTCTAAACTCCAGATAGGCATCCACATCAATAAACTCAGTTAAATCAGACTGCTCAAATGTGGGATTCTTTGGACTACAATTGCTACAGCCCCTAGCATTCTCCCCACATTCACTGATGGGAACGTTTTGGTCTGGATAGGCCACAGTCCTGGTGCCATTTTGTTCATCTTTTGCCAACTGAACGCAAAGACACTGCCTTCCCTAACAATGTAAATTTTTAGAAAACTTGAAATCAACAGAATTTCTTGAACCAAAAGTTTTTCTGTTCTAGCATATTTATTCAATTTATGATCCAGGGAGCATGGGCCCAAGGAAGGATGATTTTATATGCTGGATAAGTACCTCCCAGACTACAGAAACATTTGAACTGATTTATGGGAAAACACAAAAAAGTACATTTAAACAGACCAATCCTGCTTAAGGTTCCCTGGCCAAGAGGTTTTGGGAATGCTGCATACGGGCAGAAGAGCTAAAATCATACAAAATCATAATAACATCCTTGAAATTAAAACGCAGTAGAGAAGACCCTTCACAGCTCCATGGACCCTATACTTCCTACAATCAACATTAACAACGACAAGGACTGTGTCTATTTATATATGTAGTTTAATGAAAAGAAGAACTAGGGGTGACATGATAGTGTTCCAATACTGTATCTCA